TATACAGGGAAGCTGGCACGCAAACGGGTTTTTTTTTTCCCTTCTTTTTTTTTTTTTTTTGATTCCTACACCCCCAAAACATCTGACTGCTTTGGGCTGCCAGCGTTCGGCGGGCCAAGGGTGAAACGCAGCGCGTACGCAGCTTCTCGGCGTACGAAGCAAAGCTGAGCTAAGTTGGAGGAAGAAGGGAAGGAAAAAAAAAGCGGATGAGAAGTCAAAGCGAGAAAAAACACACACGTAAAGCACATCAAGCTAACAGTTCCAACGGCTCTGCTAAAACCCGTAAGCACATGCTCGTCGCGAACGCACCAATGTATACTCGAGCAAACACACACACACACACACACACACACACACACACACACACACTCACATTCAGATACAGGATGTTGGCAGTCAATTCTGTAAACACTCCCCTTATCCCTTACTAGTGTAATCTGCCTCTGATAAATGCCCCTCCAAGATAGAAATGTCACCTGATATGATAAACAGTATGCTGACGTTACATAAAGTGGCCGTATGCTAAGGAGTTGGAGAGATTAACTGTGGAGCAGAGATGGAAAAAATGGTTGGTGTGATAAAAAGCAGACATTAAGCTGGAGCAGAGCGCCCCGCTCAGCTGTGGTTCAGGTTCACAATGACTGGATGAGGGAAGAACAGACACTCTGTTGTCATTTTTTTTCTTAAGGGTTACACACATGAAGCGTTAGCTAAAAGGTCAACGCGTACAAAGGAAGTTAGCAGTAGGTGGAAAACAGAACGTGAAATTGAGTGTTGCTTTTTCTCCCGAGAGTTTTACTGGACATGACATGAGCCAGATATTTGGTCATCTATTTAATTTGCTTCTGCAAAAATTTCACACTTTGCCATACTGAAATTCAGATTTTTTATTTTTTATCAAATTCTGGAAATTTGAGACTCAAAAACAAGTACAGTAGTTAAAAGGCTTCACTGTCTGCATATTCTACAGATTATTAAATAAAACAATGCGTTTTAAAGGGCTAGTTCACAGCTTTTTTAGATCAGCACCTCTTCAACATCTACAGAGCTGTTCAAATAATTAGAATATCACTGAAAAGTTTATTTCACCAAGTGAAGCACAATATATATGTAAATTAGACAAACACCTAAAGGTCAGAAGTTTGGGAATATATAAAACTTAAATAACTTTGATATTATTATTGACTATAAGGACCCTTTATTTACTTTATATCAGATCATTACCAAAATATGTCATATCTACTAGTCAGCTGCTACGAAGGTGAGCACATTTCTCCCTCGATTAGAAAACAGAACAAATGTGACACATTCTGGTGGCAAAACAAAACATAAAGCCAATGTGTGAAAACTTAAGGAGTTCATGCATCATTTATTAAGATGTTCTCTTCGGTTTTTTTCCATTAATTTTTGACAGCTAGCAGCAGCCTGTCTACTAAGTAGCTCACTGCAGATTCAGCCTGAGCACATAGCCTGACTAACCAACCAGCTAATATCAGCTGGTATTTAAAATGTATTAAATAGGTAGCAGAAAACTACTATCAAGTTTAACATGTTTTATCTCAATATTTTCCTTTGTATGAAAAAAAAATGGTGATTGGTAATTTTCCAAACGTAAATCATTTTGAATCAGGATGAGAATCTAACTTTGACACATCCTCATCCTCATTGAACACAGTGGTGTGTACAACTGCAAGGTTTGACATTTTGACATTACGACCTAGTGGTTGGCTGTGGGGACCTGTGCACCCGGCCGCCCAGGACCAATACAAACTTACAGTAATCACCACAGTCTGGTGCTTGATTTTCCACAATGGCGGGTAAAAGAGCCGCAGGATGCAACATGAATTCTCAGATGGTCTATAAAGCGGAGACAACAGTAAAAGGGGGAGAGCACTAAGTCAGTTTAATAAGCACATTTGACATCGGATGTCGGCGCCCAGACTCCGAGGGGGGTGCTTCAATGTGTCGCCATAAACACTGGCCAAGGCGCGCTCCCCCTACATCATCTATATGCCCCCCCTGCCCCTCTCACCCCTCTTTGCACGATACGAAACTTTGGGGGGCAATTTTACAGAAAAATTACTCCGAGGGGTCCCGGTTTCAATTCAGCCCGCCCGTATCTTTCCTTCCTATTAAGCATCAAAACGTTCCTCCTCTCACTGCGAGTGGAGGTATGGGCTCCACCAGAAGCTGAGAAGAGGCGGGTGGGGGCAGCTGAGAGGGAGGAGCGAGGGGAGTGAAGAGGGGATAGAGGGGAGCTTGGTGGAATTCACCCATCATATTACATCAGCTAATCGCACTCTGCCGAGCATCAGCGATATTTTCATCATTCCTGTCAATTTCTCCTGAATCCCTCCACCCCTTACATTTGAAATGACTAACAATCTGGGCAATTTATTGGCATATTGGCACAGGGTGATAAGGCTAAAAACAACAGCAGCCAGCAGCTGGCCCGGGGAGATGAGCTGATAACATTGATATGTGCTCCCACACAAAAACACCTCCACCGCTATCTCCTCTTTCTATCAAACTCTTATTACAATAAAAGTGAATGGGTTCTTTCTTTCTGTAAGAAAAAAAAAACAACAAGGAGGGCACCCAGAAAGGGGGGCGACGGGGATATATATTTATAAATAAATATATATATAAATCAGATGAAGCATTTCAGAAAGGGGGAAAGAAGAAAAAAAAAACAAGGAGGAAAATACATAATTTATCACTGTATTATCGGGATATCCAGGCAGCCTAATCAAGGAGCACTGAGTGACTATTTTTTGCCTTATCATCCAAAGTGGTGGAAACGGAGAAGGAATTATCAGCCAGCTGCAGATTGCTGGGCTGGAATTTTAATGGTAATAATCGGGTTTCTGATGGTATATCTCCTCTGCTTATCTTTCCCATTATCTGGCCTTATCTCCTCAGTCATCGGAGCAAATTAATGGCGCTCTTTCAGCATCGCCTTTTTATCGCCGCTCAGAGAGCACCCAAGGGGAAAGAATAAGCAAAATATTAAAATACTGCATAAATCACAATTTTAGATAACGGTCCAATGTATGCAGGATGGTGGGAGGAAAAAGAGAAGGGTGGAGGTGATGTGGGGTGGGGGGACTGCACCCAACAACCTTTTTGTCCTTTAGAATGACTGTCTGTGCCTGACTTTCTGTGTATTGCCTCCTGTGTCTTTATTTTCTTTTCTCTATTTTTTTTTTCCTCCGGAGTTCCCGGAGCGAGAACGAGGATCTAGGCTCCTGGTGACCTTTCTTCATCCAAGTGCTGCTTGGTTATCCAACCGCACACCACCAGCGACATATAAAGCAAGATCTTACACACGACATGCTAATGTAGCAAAAAAAAGGCCAAGTCAAAGTGACGAAAGCAGAACACAAGAGTTAGGTTTGCTTTCGCGACCACGACGACAACAATTCTGGAGGCACCGACGGGATTGGTCTAAACACCAGAGGGCCTGCTGTCACGTCACACATTGTTTTGGCTTTAAGGTGAATGCTGATGGAAACATGAGCACTAAACAGAAAAACTGAATCAAGTCTTTTTTTTTTCTCTAGTTAGTTTTTGAAGTGTACTGTGTATAAAGCTATTTAAAGGAGAAAAAGTAGAAAAAAAACAGAAAAAAGCTTAATTTCTTTTTTAAAAATATAGAAGTCAAACAATTATAGCAATAGATTGAAGTTTAAAAAGGAAAATTTAAACAACCCGTCTTTAATTTTCTAGAATCTCTAAAAATTCAAATATTAGTTTTACAAATGAAATAAAACGAAGCAGCACAAAATTGTCATTGGTCACCAAAATAAGTAAAGAAAACCACTCTTGTGCATCAACAGGCAAATTACTTCATTTATGCAAACACACACACACACACACACACACAAACGCGCGCGCAAAAACACCTAAACATGCAAACCGAAACATTTCGTTCAATAAAATGTTTTAAGTTCAACAGATCATCAAAACGCTCTTCCACATTATAAACACAACACAATCTGCCCTTTCTAACCTCCTTCAGAGCCGACATCCATCTGTCACACTGAACACACACACACAGAGCACATGCACACACCCACACACACTTATGACAGCTAAAACAGTGTGTTTACAACACCATATATTTCTGCCTCATCTGCAGGCAGCAGAAAATCATTCTGACTCTTAAGTTGTTTCAAAGCTATAATTTAAAAAAGAAACTAACCTGAACATGACCATGCAGGTCATAATCATATGCTCTAATTCCTTTAAACTGCATGAAAAATTATGAAAGGGAAGACTATAAAAAAAACATGTGTCCATTTTTAAAACAATTTCAAGAAAGTGTGTAATCTATAACTGGGTGCAACATTTCTATACAGTATATTTTACATATATTTAAGATAAACTACATATGCCACATTTACTTGAGTAAGGTTTTCCACTGCATGCTGCATGCATTCATGCACACACACCTGACGGTGTGTGCATGAGGGGGGAAAAACAGCTGAAAACTGTAGAAAGAAGGTGGAAAATACACAGCTTCTGTGTAAGAGTGTGTGTTGCAAACACACTCACTTTATATCGATGTGGGAAAACAATGACTTTTTCAAGTTAGTCTCGTTATTTTAGGCCTACAATTTCAATTTCAATCGCTTTATTATAAGACTCAAAGTGGTGCACTTTCCCCACACTTCAGAATTAACGCAACTATAAATTAAGTAAATAAGTCCGCGTTTTCCACCCTCTAGAACTTTGCAGGAAGTTCTCAGTCAATCAGGTTCAACTGTGGTCATTTCTTTTCTGAATTAATAATAATAATAATAATAATAATAATAAAAAAATAAAAAATTAAAAAAAAAGACACAAACGTAGCGCGGAGGTCGAGCGAAGGAAGCGCCGTGACAGGCAAGCGGAACACGGCGGCGGTGCAGTTGAGCGCTCCTGGAATCAGCTTCAGAATCATTTTCACTGTTCGGCTAAAACATCCCATTTAATAAGAAGCAAAAGAGGAAACTTACGTTTGATCTGCCGCGGGTTGCTCTGCTTCCTTCGGGACATGCCTGCTGTGCGGCTGCTCAGTGAATCCAGGTGTAGTAGTACTGACAGATCGATAGGTTTTGCTTCATCCAAGCAGTCGATTCTTTGGTGGGGTTGGTGGTAGGGGGGGGGTGTTTTTGTTTTTTAGGTGTTTTGTTGTTGTTGTTGTTGTTGTCTGCTGGAAACTATAAAGGCAGAAGAAGGGGGGACCGGCACTTTTTTTTTAAAAACGCACAAGTCTATCGTTCCGTCTGTCTTTTCCTTTATCTTTCTCGTCTCTCTGGCTCCGGCTCTGACTTTCTCTCCCTCGCGCACACACAGTAACACACACACGCACGCGCGTTCTCCCTCTCTCTCTCGCTCGCTCTAACACACAAATGCGCGTACACACACCCCCTCCCTCTCCCGCACTCTTCCTCTTTTTTTTCCCTCTCCTGCGCTTCGCTGCGATCCTCACGGACTGACTGGGGAGGTGAAAACGTTTCGCGCTTTTGTTTGAAGATAAGGTTTGTTCCTCCCCGGGCACCGTAGCCGCGCGGCGTCGTGAACTTCATGTGATCCGCAATCACTTTCGCTCCCCTCTTATTAATTAGGGGCGCCTCCGCTAATTAGTCCCTTTGTTTATTTGTTTTTTCTTTCCTTTTTTTAGAAATACTTTTGTTTTTTCATAACTTTGATGCAGAGTGAAAAAATATAGTTTTACTTTATTTATTGTAATGATGAACAAAGCAGGCAGTTTATTTTAGGTCGACCCTTTTTTTACTGCAGCATTGTAGTTAATACAGAGCTCCGTCTATATCGCTGACCAGTTCAGATCGACACACACCCACGCACACACACAGGAGGACTTCACTTCATAATGGCAACTGATGCTGCAGACAGTCAATGCTTTGACTATTTCGCTGAACTTTGACCCCATATTACCCTGAAGATGCACTGTAAATTGTTTTACAAAATTTTCAGTAATTCCAGCAGCATCTGTATTTAGCTGTACTGTAAAATCAATGTTAAACTAACATATATAAAGGAATCAGTACTGCAAACATAACCGCCAAAAAGAAGTTATAAAAAAAACTACACAAAATACAGTATATCTGAAAATGCATAACTGCTGTAATTCATTCAGATTTATGGAGTAGTATGCAGAAAGCAGTGTCTTCAACATGATGAAAACAGACGATACTGTACAGAACAGAGAACATAGTAAACGCAGCAAAATCCAAAGTAACACACTGTACGCTTTTCACACTGAACTGTTGCAAAGACAACGAACTGTGTTTACAGTGTGGGTCCACTTTGGCTACAAAATATTAAAAATGTCTGCAAGACGTTTTATTTCAGTTTCTGCAAAAGTGGGAGTTTGTTTCCTATTCTAACCTTATATGATAAACGAAAATATTCACAATTTATTATAGTTGGAGTGTGAAAGAAAAATCTTTAGGATATTCAGAAGAGAAATGAGAGTACAAAGAAATCATGACTGCTCCATTGTAAAAAAAAAAAAAAAACAAAAGAAGAATTTCAGAGGGTAATGCAAATCAGTCATTAAGATTTTTCAAACTGAAAATGAAATGAAATGAGTGATGTTGACTAAAGACTAATTCTAAGAACATGAACTTTTAGTTTTTGGTACCAAATTTTATGCAAGCATTCAGGTTGGAATTTAAGTGAAGCTGTTGACTCATCATTCATCTTATGAAGCAGAGATATAAGGCTGACATCCTTACATGGGTTGTTTTATGAAGTAATACACAGAGTTCAGAATTTCATAAGATTTATGATTGAGAAAGGTCTCCATTTTGGAGAAATGGTCCAAAGCAGAACAACTTTTTACATTTTTGCACATAAAAACGACAGACCAGATCATGAAAGAAACTGTCATGGTTCTGTTGCCAAGGAGAACTCAGCAGATTATTTTTATGGATCTTCTGAATCCATAAATTTCCTTCAACACTAATGAGACCAGATCCTTAATAATTAGGTTTATTCGGCATTGATCGGTGTCAGCTTGTGCGTTTTAAATGTATATTTAAAAAGATGACTGAATATTTGTTGTATGCTGTGATAACATTTAGAAAGTATTAGTTTTGTTCTTCTGAATGATTAACATGCATGTTTCCTGTTATATTTTGACTTCAGCACTAAACATATCAAATCTAATTTATTAGAATTTATTTGATCTAAAAAAAAAAGTTAGAATCAGACTCAATTTATAAAATAATTTTATTTAAGTTTATGATTAAAACTACACCAGTTTGATCAGTTAAATTGTTTATTGGTGCGATTTGCTTATAAACTAAATGGTGATTTTCAGCTGGAGGAATGAATTGCTTTTCTGCATTTGGTTTTATTTGATAAACCATCAGTCAAAATCTGAGTTTTTTTAATTAGTCTCTTCTGCGCGAGATGAAAACATTTAAAATATTTTGGTAAAAAAAAAAAAAAAAAAAAGAGAGAGAGGCTGAGAAAAGAAGTCTTTGAATGGTTCAGATTTTGACTGCCATGTTCTGAATAGCTGCCCAAACTGGAAATCACTCTCTTCAATTAGCCAGTTGGACTGCCAAGGAAGACAAGCAAGTGGCCTGTGAAATTATCTCGTAACCCAATTCCACAACTTTGGGATGGAGTCTGAAACTGCGGAATAATTTATGTGGCACAAGGGGTCAGCGGCGGTTCACCTTGACATGTAGGGTGGCCTGGCTTTTCCTACTGTTCCCCATTGAAGTCTGAAGCATATACATTTCTTTTTTGCTCACCTCTTTTTTTTTTCCCTCTCCTCCCTCGTCTCCAGCTTTTGGTCCTGATCCAGTCATGCTGATGTCATGGCACGGAGTCAAAAACAAAGAATTGTTGCAGTTGCCAATCTTGGCAGTAGCAATTCAAAGTCAGACTGGTGGAAATGTTGTGATATTTACACGTATTTCTACCTTAAACACTCCCCACACACACACACACACACACACACACACACACACACACACACACACACAGAAAAAACTCAAGTAGGAATTCAGTGAAACCTAAGCAGGACTCAGTAAAAACGGTCATGTTAACCACCCATAAATAGCCTATTTCGGGGTATATTAAGGCACCCTGCGCCAAAATCAATAATGATTTGTGGCGAGAGCGACAACACAGTGAGGGAGTGGAGTCAAATTGCCAGCTCCAGATTAATTTAACGCCACTCCTAAATCCTCTGAGACCGGAGCGTGCTTCTCCTGTGCTGTTCCTGAGCCCCAGTGGCTCGTTTGAAGCCGACTTTTGATTGGCAGCTACAAATCTGCAAGAGGAACAGAAACCTCTCTCTCTCGCTCTCTCTTTTTTTCTTTTCTTTTTTTTCTTCACTGCTCAGACCAGATGGTTGTGATAATTAACATGATACTGATTCCATCGCAGGGGAAATCACTGACACAAGGTTGGTCACATTAATAGGTTAAGGTATACTGTATGCTGCGGAGATGCGGCGCAGCGCTCTCATATAATCTGATTACGGGGGGGCCGAGGGGGGCAAAGGTTGATTTAATGTGCTAAATCATTTGATTAGAATTGCCAAGTCACATTTGGAGCAGCGGCATTCAGTGTCGGGGCGGTTAGTTGTGTTCATTCTTAAAAACAATGTTTTTGGCTGCTTGATGCTCCCGTCACTGTTGAATGTCATCCTGTCTCCTGCTTGCATCTGTCTCAGTATGACTGGAGCTTAATGACTGATCATTAAAAATGTAACAACACTCAGAGAAAAAAAAAAAGTTTCATGGATGCATCCAGTTATTTTCGTTTTAGAGGGAGCACAGAGACACGAGCTGTTGTGACTACATAAAAAAAATGTGTTACAGATGTTTGCATCTGCTTTTCAATGCAGAAAAAAACTGTAGAGAAATGCTGTGCACACACTCACAATTTATACTTATTAAATTATCGTACAGTGTGTTAGGGATTTTTTTGTTGTTGCACAAAACAGCAGCTGAAAGGTGAGTCTATGTTAATACTATAATAATATACAATACATATAATAATATGCATAGCATAACAGCAGACAACAATGCAGAATCAACTGAACTAAAAAAACATAGTACACATGAACTGGCAAAAAGCTAATACATAGCTCCTTTCTATATAAAAATCTCTATATTAGTTTTTTATAAAGCTAAAAATGCCAACATGTAACCTTTATATACATCTTATGATTCATTTGACAAAATGAATGGGATTACATTCATTTTGTCTTCTCTTATTCTATTTTCAGATTCCTGTTTCCTGGAGAGCACAGAGATTGGGGCATAATATAATATAATATAATATAATATAATATAATATAATATAATATACAAATTAAAGAAAGCACAGAATTTATTTATATGTTTGAATGTAAATTTAGAAAAAGAAAACTACCCCCAGTGGATTCTTTCTATTTCCAACCACTTCCCTGAACAGCATCACCTTACAATACATGATCACAGCACAGCATCAGTTTCACCTAAAATGACCTACACCCAAAAAAAAAACACAACATGTCCGGTGGCTCTTGGAAGTGACACAGCCACGGTGCGGACAGCAGCTGCCTCCTTAAAGAGCCGCCTCAGCAGCAGCAGCAGCAGCAGCAGCCCGGCTGGGACAGCAGCGGTGGAAGTTCGCCTGCTGCCATGTCACCCTCTGGCTGTTGGGGATTGGTTTGTCTAGTGAGGAAGTAAAGTGGGAATGTGTGTGTGTGTGTGTGTGTGTGTGTGTGTGTGTGGAATGTAAGAGGGGGGGAGTACATAGGGGAGGGGGAGAACGGCTCAGGGTGGCACCTAGCCTATATAACCATTTTTTTCCTGCATCTATAATAGTGGCGTTGTATGAGGGGAAAATGTAAGAGATAACATTTACAATTTGAGAGGATCAGATTTGCTAAAAAAAAAAAAAAAAAAAAAAAGTCAGAACTAAACAAATGGAGCGCTGTATTTCTGTTTATGGAACAAGTCTGTCTAAAGAAACCAAAGACAGCAAGATCAATTTTTACTTTGAAGAAAACGATAAAATATCAGTACACCGACTGCAGTTTTTTGGCCAATCGCCGATCTGTAGAAAGATCGACTGTGTTTTGGCTGTTACTGATTTTTTTTTTTTTTTGTCTGAAATCTAGCAAGAAAGTTGCTGAGTTGGCGACATTGGGGTGACTACTAACCTCTTCTGGCAGAGCAAAAGACGGCAGTAGATGATTTTTTGACCTTTGGTAAGATCAGCTTCACATGAATGCATCGGCTGATCACCAATCTCTCAAAATTAAGGAAATCCAGGGAAATTTTCTAGTACACCTTTAGCAAAATAATATTTTATCAAGTATGTTGATTCAGTAGACTGCTGTGCCATTACACAGAATGTTTCTTCTTTAATATCTTCATATATAGACATTGTCTGTTTTGTGATACAGATGTATCTG